TACACGTGATTTTTTTATTAATAGCTAGTACTATGATTATGTGTGTATTTTAAATTGATATGTGAACCTATTTTGAAAGTAGGTTAAAAGTTGAACATTTTGGCCTTTTTTGATTTTTGTTTGAAAAAAATGTGCGAAAAAATAAAGAGGTGAGGTGACTCAAAAAAGCCAAAAAGTGCATAAACTAGCTTTTAACTCAATTGCCAAAAGAGTATAGAGATTTTATGGGTAAATTGATATTTATCCAAAATAGAACTAAGCAATAAATAAATACATACTCAACTGAAAAATTTAAATGATAAAACAGTGATTTGATCCATTATGGATAATTGTAAATATTATATACATATATATATATATATATATTAGTATAGAAGCAAACGCAGGAAATAAAAGAGAGTACCCCCCTCTATGGGTGGAATTTTTTAATCACATCCCTGTTCCTGCGGGTAGCAAACCATATTTCAAATAACCAAAAAAATTTATAACCATTTAAATCATTAATACACAAATTTCTTTTGTTTCCATATATATGCATACATATATATATATATATAAATAGTGAGATTTTTGGAATTATTATTTATTTATATTTAAACAAAATTACAGACTTTTAGTATTCCTTTTGGGGGAGGTAATACCCGTCCCATCCTTGTTGGGGGTGATCAAGATATAATCTACCTCCGCCCCACTTCAGTGTTGAGTAGGGTAAAATTCATCTCATTCAAGTGAGTATGGGCAGACCTTTGTAGATCGAAACAAAATGGCCATCCCTAAAAAAGAATATTTCTTTTTTGTTTTTTAATCATCATCAATGTAAAAAATAAAAAGATTTTTTTAAAATTTTTTATAAGAAGGGAGACAATTTGTTTATATTTATATAGGACTCTTGGTAGCAGATATATCGTTTTTGAGTATTCAACTCTAAAAATAAAGAGATAATTGACTTATATAAGACTTTTTATGACTTTTAAAAAATATAATAAATTTGAGAAGATAAAATTAGAATTTAAAAAAAGTAAAAAATATAACAGGTTCATACTTTCATAATAATAGTAAATAGATTGAGGAATTTGTGACAAAAGGGTTAGATGTTTCCTTTTTTGTGCTACATACATACTCATAAAAATTACTCAAGTTTTACTCATAACATAAAGTGGACAAGATTCATGAACTTTCATTCAATTTCAAACGCTTCTCCTGAAGATTACAAATATAAGTCGTTAAATATCAAATACAATTTGTTTTTAGATTTAATAGAGAGCTTTGACAAGTTTACGGTGTGAGGTTTCACAAGGAACGTTAAAAAATAATATGGTTTAGATTTTATCAAAACTTAAAAATTTTATAAAAAATAATTTAAAATTAAAGTTGAAAGGGTTAATTATACTTAGTATTTATATATTTTTACTAAAATTTTTTTTGGACCTTTTCACATATAATTGAGCAATTAACTTTACACTTTAAATTAAATTATAATACTATCTTTCTATCATATGATGTTAATAAGATTGACTGATGAAAAATAAAGTGATTAATAAATCTCCATATGCAAGTGAGACCTCTATAAAAGAATAAAGATATAAAAACCAAAGCATTTGCAAAGAGGGAGGAATCAACAACAATATTTAGGTTTTAGATTAGCTTTTATGTTAGGAGTAGTTCATCAATTCAGGAGTAGTTATTTCTGTAATTTATAACTTTTGTGAACTTCGATGGTTTCATCTTGAAATCATCATTTGTTTACTTCCTCATTCTTGTCGATTGTAACTTTGTTTCAAAAAAATTCTCATTCTTTCGAGGCATTTAAATAAAAAACACAATCACTTGATTGCTCTTGTTTAATTATTTAGTTTAAATTGTTGTTTAATTCCTGTTGATTGGGAGTTAATATAATTTTTACTAACAAAATTGATTAGATGATTCGTGAAATTTAGGATTTTATGAGGGTTCGATATATGATAAGATTATGAATAAAATTATAAGAGATAAGTTATGCAAAATAGGAGTTGGGGTACCTGCTATGCACCCAACACATCAGGCACTGCTGTGCGGCCCTATGGACTTATATCGGGATCCGTTTTGATAATCTGAACCGTTCACATTTTAGAGTACATCGAGTAGAATATACTAGTAAAATATTAAGTTAATCGGATACCGTTAACCCTTTTATCCACTTACATTTATATCTTTAAAAATAAATGACATTGTAATTTAAAATATTAAAATAAATACAAATGCGAGTGGATAAAAGGATTAACGATATTCGATTAATTTAATTTTTTACAGGTATGCTTTACTCAATGTATTTTAAAATATGAACAATTTAAATTATTAAAATAAATTTTAAAATAAATTCATAAGACCGCACAACATTGCCAACTATGTTAGCTGCACAGGCACTCCAACTCCTGCAAAGCATACTCCGAAATGACTTATTCGATAAACCCACATATTCTCCACTTTCAATACCTTCCTTCTTATATCTCAATCGACCAACAAATTAACAATATGGTGAGCCCCACATATTTCCTCCACATCAATATCACTTTTAATTCCTTAATCAACCACGTGGTACAAATATCAATTTGGTCCATACTTATGATGTAACATAACGTCTTGGCAATAATTTAGATTTGTAACTGTCGGGTGGTGACCTGGTGGAGAAAGTAACTCGTCTCTACAAGCATGATTTAGGGTCAAATTTTAGGAGAGGTGGAAATGTTCTCTTTGAGAACTCCCTCTCTGTACTCCGGTTCGAACTCTCGGCGGTCTATGACGTATAGTTGAATTCCATTGGTGTCTCGGTAGTAGGTCCCTTCCTATGGATTGGGTCAAGCCAGGCTGTCAACTGGTTATCCCGGGGCTCCATTGGTACCTCGGTAGTAGGTTCCTTCCTATGGGTTGGGTTAAGTCAGGTTGTCAACTGGTTACCTCGGGGCCTGGGCCTACGGAGGCAGTGATAACACCACAGAACTTCCTTTTTTATGATTAAATAATAATAATAATAATAATTTAGATTTGTAATATCTATTTTAAACCAATGATATTGTTCTAATGTTGACTTTCTCCATCCAACTCAACTCGAGTCTTTCAATTTGAATACGTGAATTTCAGGGAAACATACGGAAAAAAAAAAGGAGCGATTTTTTCAATATTCAAAAATTTAATCCAATTTTAGCAACAAAAAACATAAAACAATTTCAACTGTTGAACAATTAATTAATTCAAAAAATTAACACATTTCAGCATACAAAATAATAAAAAACATAACAAAATAAAATACCAGGCCGATATTTCTATGAAAGCATTTCTCGAACCTAAATGGAATGGACCTCCTTCTTTAGCTGATTCTTGATAACCTTTTTTTTTTTTTTTTGTAGGTGTTGCAATTGTGATTTTTTCTATGTTAAATCGTTGTGTTGATTTGTCTTGATTGTTTGATTGAGATTGATAACCTTTTTTTTTTTGTAAAAAAGTAATACTATACATCTATATATATATATATATATCAAAATTTTATTAGAGCACAATGCATCTATTTGTTAAAAAAGAAGAAATAATTAGAAATAAAGTCTAACCCCAAAAATGTTTTTAAAGAGTGAAAATTATTCAGTGTCAGTTGTAATTATAATACCACAAACACATCTCAGTCCCACAAAAATTGAAGGTGAAAATGTATTTGTGAATGTTATTATCATCAATGATACTAATAACTTTTATGCAAAGAAACCTTTAAAAAGAGTGGGTGAATTTGCAAGTTCCTTCAATTCAAGAGGGGTTGGAGGGGAAGAAGAAAAAGCACATGTCATACCAACCAACTTGAAGAGGGATTGATTAGCAATTTTTCTAACAAACTATAGACAGCATTAAATCATATCCACATCCCCACTTCATTTGTATCCATGGCTATGATTATGACAATTATTCACTATATTTGGTTTCAATTTTCTAAATTCAATTATCTGAAAATTAAGTATTTTTATTTTTCATATTTTTTTAGTGAATATTTTTAAAATTTTAAACATTTTTTTTTATTTATAACTTTTTTAGATACACTTTACTTAGATATATCTAAAAACTAAAATATTTGTAACAAAATATTTTTAAAAATTAATAAATACACAAGAATACGAAAAATGTACTAAATTTTAGTTTATTTATTTATTTATATATTTTTGGTATTTAGTAAGTTTTTTAAAGATTTTTACACAAATATTATACTTTTTAAGTGTATTTATGTTAAGTATATCTAAAAATTAAAAAAATTACTTAAAATATTAAAAACATTCAGTAAAAAAAACACGGAAAATAAATTTTTTTAATTTTCTGCAAAGTGAATCATGAGTTATGAAACCAAACAAGCTAATTGATACCTTGATTTATATATATAGCAACTTTGAGTGTGACATACACTTATCTTAGTAGTACAAAATCAACGACATATTTGGTTGTTTTTATATTTTTAGTTCTATAATATTGTTTTTTTCAATACATAAAAATTATTTGGCAAATGATTTTCAAATTTTTTGACAGAAAATCAATTTTTAAGAATTATCAAAAATTGTATTCAATTTTTCAAAAACTATTTTCACACTCAATATTTTTTTTTATTGTTTTTGAAATTTTCATGGTTCTATTTTGCAAAACACAAAAACTGAAAACAAAGAAAGCAAAATCACAACCAACAGACCCAAATCCCAGATTAGACCAACTGAGTTATATAATTATCACACAATTTTAGTTTAGAATAAATTACACCAATCTCTCTAGAATTATAGAAAAGTCATAGCAAGTAATAGCAACTTTAACCGTGTTAATGAAATTACTTTAATTTATTATCCTTTTTCACTAAAGAATAACTAATAGTATTGGCCAAAATGTTATGATATGAACGTTATATTTAAAAGTACCGTATAATTATATCAAAATTGTGAAAAATAACATTATAGGGAGAACGTTAAGAAAAGCATTGGTACACACAAAAAAAAAAAAAAAAAAAAACTCAAACATTCTCTTTTATTAAGAATCTTGAATGAATATCCAATACATGGGAAGAATCAATGCTGCAATGAATGGAAAACTAATGAGGCAGCAATGGTGGTGACAGTGGTGGTGGTAACGACTAGCTAACACTCCGCACAGCCACCCTTACAATCAAACACAAAGAAACATCTATTTTATCATAGCATTGTTGAGAATGGTCAATTAGGCATTGACCAACACTCAACACTTATTTCTATGCATATATATGAATATTCCTTACCTTCACATTTTGTATATCATCACTGAAATGTTGTTCAATTACCTAAGATTATTGACTGCTACAAAATCCTAAGAATCCCATGAACTCGTGGTTGTGAATCATTTTGATACTTTTATCAATGCCGACCACCCCTGTGAACAAAATTTCCAGAAAAGAAACAACCCGTGTTAGGCTTTCATCGTTGCTGGACGTTTCAAAGAAGTCCCAGGTCAGAGAATTGTTCGTTGTACTTACCCATTATTAGAGCACTGGCAAAGATAACAGCTGAGAGAATGAACACAATTAATGAAGCTCTTTTTAGAAAAGCAACGAGTTTTCTTATAAAGAATTGTCCCCAGAAGCCGGCCAAAACTGAAACTGAAATGAGGTACAAAGCTGCACAATAATAATAATAATTATTCAAATGACAGTATGCCGATTAAATTTTTAAGCAAGTTGTGTTAGATAAAGAGAAATTATTTGATTTAAAAATTATTTTTGTTATATATGAAATTAATGCAAAGAGATGAGACTGAGAATGTACCGTATGGAATAGGGAACCTTTTGAGGAGGTAGAACTCCACCACAGATAAGGATGATGAGAACAGCATCACAAACGTTGCTGTCGCGCTGGCAACCTGTGAAAGGAAAATGAAAAAGGGGTTATTCATCGTATCAATTCATTGAAGAAAAAAACAAAATAGTGTTCTTACTCATAATTCCAAATATTCCCCCCCCAAAAAAAAATCATGAAATAGGGGAATGGAAAAGAAAATAGGAAATTTTTCAACCATAATATTATAGATGCCAATCTCCATCCAACTATAGTGACAGTTACAATAATGCTGAACTTCACAACTCATTGTGTCAATTGGCAAATAATGTTGGAGCTATGTTACTCATAATTCTGAATATTCCAAAAACATTCATGAAATCGGGGAATGGAAAAGAAAATTGTCAACTTCACAACCATAATATCGGATGCAAATCTCCATCCAATTATAGTGAGAGTTACACCACCGTGTGGTCCAAAATGAAAGTTGCAGCATTCTTGTAGTCCCTTTGATTCCCCCCAAAAGTTGATTGAGAAATTTGGAAATAATTCGGGAGAAGATGGACGAAAAAGGATTTTGAAGGAATGTGAAATTTCACTGCTAAACAGCTTCATGCAATTTAAGTTTTCTATTTCAGTTTCCTTTGAAAATGGCATTATGATACATTCGAGATATGATGATCATACCTGGGGGATGACACCGATCTCGAGGAGGAGCGGACCGAGAATGAATCCACCGCCAGATCCCAGTAGGCCCCCAACAGTGCCTCCCAAGATACCACAGAGTCCACAGAATGCTAGTTGGATTGGGGTCCATTCAAGCGTAGCTTCACATACTGATTCTGTGTTCCCCTCTATCCTCCTCTGCTTGCTTTCTTTGTACAATTTAATACCTTCAAACCCAAACACTCCAAATGCTAAAGGGAACTGAAAAGCAGAACTAAAGGCTCTGAGATTGGCCTCCAAATTCAAGGAGAAAACAATAAAGAGAAAAAAATACCATGACAGTCATTAACTACAATTCAAATACCTGTAATAAGAAAATTAACCAATACCATGTACTGCAAACTGCCACATCATTCTGCACATCCAGTATCAACAATATCAAAAATTCCAATCAAGACACATAATACACAAATGAAAATACTGGCCATGTTTATTAGGGCGGACATGCCTTGGGATTGGATTAATAATTCATCAAAATACATATCACACGTTTGACTACGAAAATTTAGGTCAGGACTATTAGTTCACCCAGACATGGCCCATATGGAGACTATTGAATCCCAAGAGGGGGTGAGACACCAAAAGGGGACTAACGAGAGGTTAATTGGATAAATTATAAAGTTAATAAGCACAAACAAATATGGCCTTAGTGTCTTTAGACTAGGATTGGCAACACTGCTGAAAAAACGAGTCCTAATTGAGTTGTAATTTTATTTTTAGTTGACCATTGAGTCATTGAGCTTGATGAGTTAGTATTAGAATTAAAAGCTCTTCATCAACAAGGCTTGCAAATATCAAGACAGAAGGTACAAGTGGTATGTGAGCCCAAGTCCAGGTTCGAGTCACCAAGGGTGGTTTCCTTGAGGAGATTTGTTAGGTTTTGTGGTGAAGCAATCCATCCTAGTAAGCTCTGTGGACTGACAGTCGACAATGGACAATGGACAGACTGGCACGAACATAAGTTTAAGTACAAAAAGCTAAGCCCTCCAAAACAGCAATTGAAAGCCAGGATTATACATGTTTATCTAGAAAGAGAATGGACTTGCCTTAATGATCTGAAGAAGAAGAAAAGAAGCCCATAAAAGGAGAAGCACCAGAATCCTTTTCCACCTCAGGTTAAAACGTAAAATTTGCTGAAGAAAAAGGAACATTTAGCACCGCTAATTATAAAATTGGAAACACAGAAGATGTAAAAGTAGGCTTTGCTCACCATTGCTGTTTTCTCCTCTCTAGGAATCAATGGCTCATACTCTGTATCAATTAATACTGAAGACAGGAGAAAAAAGCACAAGAGCATGAAAGTCATTAGAAATGAATACCGAAAGAGATTTAGCTCTTAATCTTTACAAAATTCATGAATTTTCCAGAATGACTTACATTCACCGCGAGAGTTAACTACAGTTTCTTGTTGCTGCACCAATTCTTTCTGCATTTTTTTCCCAGAAAAGAAAAGTAACAATAAGGAATCATCTAAATTTAATTGTATTGTATCTAATACTATTTTTCTATTATAAAACCAAGATTTACTGTTTGTTTTTGCTATTTTTTAAGGATATTTAAATTGCAATCTTTTCCAATAAGTAGGTTTAGCTGCCTATTATTAACTATAACAGTGGATTATTTAAGATAAGCAAATCCGATAAGGTCCAACAACTAACCTTCAAAATAGTCTCTTCCTTCCACATCTCGATACCCTTGAAAAAAGACCTTGATGATGTCCCTATTAATAAAATAATAAAAAGGGAAAAAGGAGAAAAAAATGTTAGATATAAACAGAGTCTCAACAGGGGCACATAAATAATTATCAATAATTAATAATTGATGTTCATTAAAATAATAAATAAACTAAGCTTGGAAAACAAAATTAAGAATAAGAAGAAAGATGCAAGTGGCAAATAAAATAGATTAGCATATGTTAAGAACCAATGATCTTGGGTTTGGAAAATAAAGATTGCATACCCAAGAATAGAATAATGATGAGCACAGTGATGAGCCAATAAGGGAAGACAACACTGAGAGCCACACCAACGGTGATGCCTAGCATTAGCATGGGCTGGAACAGAAGTGCCAAATCATAGTCTAGAATGGGCACTTCTCTGCATGGATGAGGCACCCTTAAATTGTACCAAACTGATGATGCTGAAGCCCCCATTATCATACCTGCAAACCATACCACACAAATCCAATCTTAATCAACATTTTTTTTCTTTTTTTGATAATCAAGAATTTATCCTAGGCCCCTTTAGACCCACCCCAGGAAAGTAAACTCGAGGTTTAAAAGCCACCCCTAAGTCAATGAATTGGGCAAACAGGACAAGATTCGAAGCCTTATCAAAAAGGGTCCATCTCGGAAGGCTCTTTAGAGAAATATAAAGCAAAAACTATTACATAAAGAAAAGAAAGGCCCGATTAGTGCGTAGCAATTCTCTCTAGACGTGATTTTTCTATCCAACTCAATTGGTGTGAATTGTCACACCTGTTTTCATTCCCAAATTGCCTCAATATAACTACCTCAAAATTTAACTTTGAATTTCAAAATTTGATAACTTCTACATTCAACTTATTGATTTTCATGACACACCAATCAAGTATATGTACACATACACATACACAAGTATGAGAGAGATCGGGGAAGAGAGAGAAGGAGATACATTTGGAAAGAGCAGCAGCAGACTTGGTATCAAATCCAACAATCAAAGTAAGCATTGGGACAAAAATGCCACCCCCACCAACACCACCCACCGTTCCACATGCCGATCCCAAGAACCCTATCACTGTCGCCAGCACAATTCTCCAACTAAATTTCAATTCCTGCGATAAAAACAAAAACCCATTAAGCAAAACATTCTCACAAGAACAGACAACACACATACACTCATATATATGCGTTCATATGTAAATGTATAAGTATGAGAGAGCGAGAGAGAGACAGAGAGAGAGGACTTACAGGCCAAACTTTGGATTCAGATCCATATGGGTAATGCAAAAGAGTATTGTTTAGAGAAGAAAGATGAGGTGAGTAAGCGTTGGTATGACTTGGGTAGTCGCTGATATAGAGAACTGATAGAACAGCAATAGAGAAGCCAGACAATAGGTACAAAACCATCCCTCTAGTCGCCGCCATGGCTCCTGTAACTGCTTCAGAGTCCAAACACCACCTCTCTCTCTCTCTCTCTCTCTCTCCACAACTCTTTTGCTACGTTACCTTCTGGTTGATAAATACAAAGAAAGACACAAACCCAAAAAGGAAAACAATTGGGTAGATTATATTGTCAAATCAATGAGGTTTTGGAAAATAATTATAAATTAGTAAAAAAATTATATATATATATATATATTACTATTCAAATTTAAAAATTAAATTCATTTTTTTTATATCTTCTTTAATTATCAATCAGTCGTATCAAGTAATTAAAATTATACCTTTAATTATCAATCATTCTTATCAAGTAATTTATATATAATTTTTCTATAAATATTAATAATTAAAATTATACCAATGTTTTTTATTATTATATAATTATTTTTTCAAAATTCTAATAGGTGTAATTATCCCATTTATATATCTATTAATACTACAAACTAAAAAATTTTACAATCACACTTTTAATCTATACCATACATTCTATTTTTAATCCAATTTTACGATTGTAAGTTTGGTGATTATATTCCATCATCCAACTTGTGCTACGCACATACATATGTCAATGATATATTAATATTTTATAAATTTATAGATTATAAAATTATTTTTATTTTTAATTTTAACATATATTGTAAAGATATTTATTAGTATTATATGAATTTTTAAATCATAAAATTTGGAGAAAATTTTATTTTACCTTTTAATCTAAAAAGATGAAACTTCATAGATTTATGAATCTAACTTGAGTGACTTTAAGTTCATAAAGTCTTATGATTTAATTAAATTTCATTAGAATTAAGAAAAAATTTAACACCTCAAATTAAATTCAGTCAAGATTTGAGTAAGGATTGTCACAATCCAATCATTTCGATTTTTGTTGATAATAATATATAATCCTAGTATTGAATCTGTATTTACATCCAAACTAGAAAGAGGAAAAAAAATAAAAAAATTCAGAACATATCTTTTAGATTGATTTATATTCATCTTAGAATTTTTTTTTTAATTGTATTATATTATGAATGAATTGAAAGGTTACGTAGTTACTACTTCTAGCTTTTATTTTTATTCACTATCATATTATTTGCAAAAACAAATGGAATTTTATAATTAAGAGTAGATTTAATCATACTCTTCATTTTTTTATTAGTTAAAATATGAAAAATGTACTTCTTTATTTTGCATAATTAATTCTTTGTTTTTTTATATTTTTTTTAATCTATGTACTCCAACGTATTCTTCATTTTACTTATTATTCATAAAAACGGTTTAATGAGCATTGAGAGGCTCTGCAAATGTAGCTATTCCTTAAAATTTTTATTAAAATGACTATTGGGTAGATACGGAAAACTCTTATAATATATAAGTGTGTACCATGTGTATCTGTTATGTATTACGTATTTGTGTCATATATATATTTTTTATAAAGTTATGATAATTTATGATTCAGAAATAAAATTATATATTTTATAATAATATTACTCATTTTTATGATAATATTACATATAACAAGGGTGTATATGTACTATAACATTACCCGGTAGGTATATATAGGGGGTATTTGACAAATTGGGTTTAGGCTAAAATAGACGGCAATAATAAATGGGTTAAAAAAGTTTGTAAGATAAATTGTCACATTTAAATTATGATGATTTCACTTTTTTTTACCGCCATCAATTCAATTAATAAAAAAAGCTAACTATCATCTCAAATATAATTTTTTTAAACTATACTAAGGCCTCATTTGGCAACTCACATTACAAAAAATTAAGGTTTTAGAGACTAAAATTTAGGGACAAAATTATTTTTTAAGGACCAAATTTTTTTGTTGTGAAAAGTGTCGTTATTATATTTTTAACAACGGAAATTGAACATTAGTGATGAATTATTATTATTTTGGCACCAAATTTTTTGTCTTAAAAAATAAACTATTTTGCGATCAAATTATTTTGTTCTTAAAAGTCTATTTGTTAGTGACATTTTCAAAATTTTGTCGCTAAAAGCCTTATTTTTGACATTTCGAAACGATTTTTAACGACTATTCTAACAACGATAGAAATTAGTCCCCTAAATGTCTTTTGTTATAAAATTTTCACTTTTAAAGACCAAAAAATTTGATCTCTAAAACCCTTATATCTTGTAGTGTCATTATTTTAGTCTAAAAGTCAAAAAATTATTACAAAAACTAAAAAAACTAACAACTTATATCAAAAAGTTAAATATTTTATTTTCTCTCTATTTTTTACACAATTTTTTCGTAAAAAATCAAAAATTCATTCTAAACTTACTTTTTTAACTTATATTTTAATCAAAAAATTAAAAAATTATTAAAATAACTTATTTCTAAACATGACCTAAAATAATAAAAAAAATCAACTAAAATACTGTATTTCCAAACGGGACCACAGAGAGAAGTCAACTGTCATCTTAAATATAATTTATTAATTAAATTAAAATAACAAAAAAAATTAACTAAAATAACTTATTATGCATAGAGAGAGAATATGAGAACGGTAGTTCAAGCTGCGTGTTGACTGGTTGCAGCACATACGGGACAGAGAAAGCCACCTCTCCATTTGTGGTAGCTATGTGTCTTTTCGTTTTTTTCGGTGTTTTATAAAAAATTTAACAAAATTAAAAATATTATTTTTAACTTTTCTAAGATTACACTCCTTCCGTTTCAAAATAATAATTCTTTTTAAAAATTATAATTTTTTTTAGTAATATAATTATTACACTTTAAAAAAGTTAAATTTTCAAAATTATCCTTTGATAGTATATTTTTTTGGAGAATATCAATGTCATAATTATACTTTTTATGTTGTTAATGAATTTAAAAGAAGGGAAAAATAGAAAATTTATATTATTTTTGTACTTGATTTTTAAAAATAGACTAATATTTTGAGATAATAAAAAATGAAATAATGAACTAATATTTTGAGACGAATGGAGTAATATTTTTAGAAAAATATTCAAACATAGCCATCCTTTTCATTTTATACGAAAATTTTTTTTAATGTTTTTAAAAAGTGAGTTGTTATAAAGTTTCTACCAGAAAATTTGTTGTATTATTTCACATGGAAATAAAAATAGAAAATAAAGAATAACCACAGAAAATTATAAAGCAAAAAATCACAAAAATTACAAAGAAACAGTTTTACAATGAACATAAAAATTAAATATAAAAATGAATATATAATACATGAATAGAAAATATTATAGAATTTATTAGCAGAATATTAAAAAAAAAATCTTATTGATTCGTTTGTTTTATTTGTTTGGCCAGTTTTTATATGCTTAGACTTATTTACAAAGAAAAAGGGGTACAACATTAGAGAAACTAACTAAAAAATAATTAGAATTAATTTGATGAACATTCAAATTTAATATTTAGAGAGTTTCTTTCTTTTTCTTTTTTCCTTTTCAAGATCGGAAAGGAAGTTTTCATTTCAAAATCAATAAAATATTGGATCGATTTGGTACAACAGTATTACAAGATTTCAAAAAAGCATAAAAAATTTCATAAAATGAAGAATCCAAACCTCCGTAGAAGAAGAAAAAAAGTTCCCACACGAGAGAAACAAATATCCACACAATATTTAGAGAATTATACACAAACTAAATCTAAATATAATTCATTTATTTTATTTTTTGAATTCATCATTGTGAAGCCACAAAAGTGTGATATAAGTTGATAAGTACAAACAAAACAAAACAAAACAAACCCAGTGGGAACCCACTGATTTGTAACTTGTGGTGCAGCCATGTGATGGTAAAATGCACAAAATAATAAATAAATGGATATTTGAATATGACACTCAAAAAAATAAATAAATAATAATTTTAACATAATTATATTTAACTTTTTTATAATTTTAATTCACATAATATTTAGTTTGTTTTCGTTAATAATTTATTAAGTCATATAGATGAAAAAAAAATAATATTATCATTTCTTTTATACAAAAAATACATATTTTACTTTATTTATCTTTATATTTTCATACTATTTGTATTAGTTTCAAGCCATTCAGCCTTACAAAAAAGAAAAAAGTCAGTGTAATTATATCAAAATTATAGGATTTATTGTAATTTTGTCAAATCTAAGAAAGATCAATGTAATTTATCTTAAATAAATAATAATAAATACCGTACATTCAAGAATACAGTGTATAAATAGTGTACATTCAAGAATATATATATATATATATATAAAATTTTGATATAATGCCAAAAATAGACATGTGGATGATAGGAGTAGTGCAATTTTATTTGGATACGTATTTCTGGTGAATTTTGATTTGATTTGAATTCGTTTCTATATATATCACAAAACATTTCCATATGAGCCATATACATACTTTTAATTTTAATTTATATGTTATATACCTTTTATTTTGATTTTTATTTCTTATGGAAATAATTTGATTTCTTTGACTATTCGTGCCCTTTAAATTTGGCCAAAATATAGTAACCATGTCGGCTATATTATTTCATTTCCATAGGTGAAAAAAAAAAATGTTAATATAAGATTATAAGTGGATATTTTCCATAAATCTTTTACTCAATTTTAATTCTTGTGCAAGTAAAATTTGATTTATTGGACTCTTTTGGCTATGTTATTTCATTTGCATAGGTCAAAAAAAATGTCAATATAAGATTATAGGTGGATAGATATTTTCAATAAATTTTTTACTCAATTTGAATTCTTGTGCAAGTAAAATTTGATTTGTTTGACACTCTTCATACCTTTTAAAAATGTGGACAAATTATAGCAACCACATGAGTAACATGTGGGTTATATTCTTTCAATTCTAGGGAGAAAACCAAAAATAATTATTAATTGGGTAGTCCTTGGATATAAAATTGTTGAAAGATAAGTTTTGCCATCTAGGCATGTTTATCTTCAAATGTTAGGACCCCTCAGAATAACTCAAGCACATTATATTATTAGGAAAAAAGGATGATTTTCTCATAAGTGACAAAAATACTCTCACAATTTAATTCCTATTCTAAAACGGTTATGTTTAATATAGCGAAATTAAATTTTTTAATAAATTTATACTATGGTCTTTTATTTATACCAT